ATACCTACAGATAATATTTTTATGGTTGTAACTTAAAAAATTATCAAGGGAATTTGTAAAAATGTCATCTGTGTTTGTATATACAATCTACACGTTTTGATACCAATTTCCTTCTTTCACAGTTCAGCCACATAGCAATATGGGGCAGTATCACACTGTGGGTGGTGTTTTTTGGCATCTACTCATCTCTGTGGCCCGCTATTCCAATGGCCCCTGATATGTCTGGAGAGGTAAGGTTTCAATGAATCCAACAAAACCTTAAAAATCAGTATTCATTAATGAATATTTGGCATGATTTTCCATTTTGTTGATTTATATTAGTCTTTGACCATTTAAAAGCTATTTATAAATTCCACAGTTGCGAGTGATAAATCTTGAAGGGACTGTTTTAAACTGGAACAGTTTGCTTAAATCTGACTTATCCTTTCATAAACATCACTGGAACAATAAAATATGGTTGCAAGGAACTTGAATCACGTTAAGAATATCTGTGTAGAATATACCATTTTAAAATTAGGCCATAAATCTATAAATGCCTTTTGGATTTAAAAAAAAAAAAAATGGGGGAGATGGTGACTGTGTGTCCACCGTACAGTCAGTCTACTGTATCTCATGTTATCTCTTCTTCGGAAGTCTACTATCCCCAGATTAAATGCACTTTTACAATTCTATTAATGCCATCAGTTTGGTTTTCATTTAGAAAGAGTCAGGGTCTGTGACATAGCAGCCTTATCAAACTCCATTTTCAATCCTGTCTTTCAGTTTCTTGTTACACTGGTAGGAATTGAGTTATTAGGTGCTCATGGGTGGGGGGGGGAGCATCAGAAGATCTCCTTTCCTTCAGAAGAGCTTCCAGCAGTAGGAAGGTTTATGATTTCAATTGCAGGAAATTTGACATAAAGTGTATAAAAGAAAATGTGGAAAACATTTCAGGATTTCCTGTGACCTCACAGTAACTTGCAGATCAAGGTAACGTGAGCTCCATTATAGTTCAGCATTTCCCCGCGGTCACAGGAAACCTTCCTTTCCAGTGGTCGCTATGTCTTTGCTGCCCCTGCATACTGCCTGAGTACCTTTCACTTTTGACAGTCTGGTTTATAGATCATTTTCATGAAATCTTATCTGACAGCATCCTGCTTTTTATAAATTAGCAGAATGCAGACACATTTAGAAACTTTCTTGCGGTTAAATTTATTAGAGAGAGACATTCTATATATACTATTGCAGCGAAACCAGAGTTATCACAGAGCATGTACTTCCTTCCACCCCAGGAGAAGGTTTCTTTTGAAACATGTACTGCAAACCCTAGAAAATACACAGCCTGGATTTTGAGGAGCAGTGAGAGGAAACTGTGACTGCTCACCTTCGTCCCTGAGACCTTTTTTTACCTGAAGAAATAAAATCAAAAACCATGTGCCTGATGATGCCAGTTGGAGAGATCCAATTCTATTCTTGGTTTTTACTTGATGTGCTCCCTACCTCATTGGGCCTGTTGTTCCCAAACGTCAGGTCTAACTTAATATTTTTTTCATTAAACTGAATGGTCTTTGCCTGATTTTATCTCATTTCTTAATGTTTATTTTATCTGTAAAATGAGTAACAAACGGTTTTGAGATTGAGGTCGTTTGGCTGATAGCTGTAATGATAAGAACTGAGGTTTTGACCACCTACTTCTAGGACAAGTGTGAAGTTTGACTGGCTTTTTGCCAACTATGCATAATCCTACCCTTGCTTATAGAGTTTCCAGTGTTACCCAAGCACTGGACTTAATGGCATCTCTTGAGACTTGTGGTGTTGCTATGTTTAATTCAAAGGGAACTGCTTGTCAGTACTCCACCGTGTTTCTGTTCACTTCATATACGGTGGGAAGTGTTAACAGGAGACTCTTTTTCTTGATACTTTCAATATAGTATTTAAATTACTGGAGTGCCACTGGAAATAGGAAGACTGTAGACTAATTCAACTATATACTACCTTATCCAAAAAAAAAAATCATTAGTATAATTTAGTCCAAGAAAATCCTAATATTTCAAGTTTATATAGTACTTCAGTACTTGCAGTATGTATGTGTATGTGAGGTTATTCTTCTTAGGTGCTGTCAAGTCAACTCCAGCTCACAGCGTCCCTAATGTAAACCGAAGGACACACTGTCAGTTCTGTGCCGTACTCACAATTGTGATGTTTGAAGTCCACTGTTGCAGTCACTGTCTGTCCATCTCATTAAGAGTTATCCTCTTTTTCAGCAACCTTCTACTTGACCAAGCATGATGTCCTCTTCCAGAGGCTGTTGTTGTTGAGTGCCATCGAGTCAGTCCCAACCCATAGCAACCCTGTGTAGGGTTCCTGAGGAGCAGCTGGTGAGTTTGAACTGGTGACCTTGCAGTTCAAACCAACTTTGTAATCCAGCACATTAACCCATGGCACCATGCTAGAACTCCCTTCCAGGAGCTGGTCTCTCCTGATGTCCCAAGTATGTGAGATGAAGTCTCACCATTCTCACTCCTCAGAGGCATTATTTCAATACAGATCTGTTTGTTCCTCTGGTATTTTCAGTGTTCTTCACCAGCACCATAATGAGAGGCATGACTTCTTTGATCTCTATTACTCATTGTCTGCTTTTTACATGCATGTATGTGAGGCCATTGAAAATATGAGCCTTGGAAGTATAATTGGAAGTAAAAACTTTGTGGAAAAATGGAATCGGAAGATAATGAAAATGTTTCATGAACTTAGTGAAATTCATGCACAGACACACACATGCATGTATGTATATGAATATGTGTATGTATATATAGGGGTAGTCACCTTCCATGCAAGAGACCCGTGTTCAATACCTGGCCAGTCCACTGCATATACAGCCACTGCCCACGTGTCAGAAGGATCGATGTGTGTTGCTGTGATGCTGAGTAGGAAGAAGAGTGTGGCAGTCTACTTAGGAAACTCTGTCGTTCACAGGGATCTGAGCAGAAATTGGTGAAGGACCAGGAAACCTTTCAATGCTGTACATAAGGTGGCCATGAGTCAGAGGCCAACTTCATGGCAGCCAAAAATAACATGTATATTATGCTTGTGTGTATGTATGTGTGTCCACACCTTAGCTGACAGTTTGTCTTATTATGGTGGCTTGAGTGTTGCTGTGATGCTGAAAGTTACACCACTGGCATTGGAAATGCCAGCAGGGTTATCCATGGTGCACAGAGTTCAGCAGAGCATCCAATCTAAGGCAGATTGTTGGTGTTATTTGTTGTGAAGTATTGTCAAGTTGGTTCCAACCCATAGCAACCTTGTATAGGGTTTCCAAGGAATGGCTAGTGAGCTTGAACTGCAAACCTTATGGTTTAGGCCGACTTTGCAGCCCAGAACATTAACCCACAGCGCCTTCCCAGAACTCCAAGACAGATTAGGGAGCGACTGCTTCTGAATGGTTAGCCACTGAAAACCTTATGAATCACAGTGGAACGCTGTCAGATACAGTGTTGGAATAGGAGCCCTTTAGGTTGGAAGGCCCTCAAAATGTGTCTGGGAAAGAGCTGCGTCCTCAAAGTAGAATTCATGGTAATGGCATGAATGGAGAAAGCATTTGGGACATTTATTTGCTGATGGGACACAAGTCAAAATTGGGCAAAATTGCTGCAAACATCCCTTAAAAATCAGAACATGGATTGTATGAAGTATAAATGTAATAATATTAGAAGTTTTGAAAATGAAATGTAATACATAAAGGTCAATATCCTAAGCATTAATGAGTTGAAATGGACTGAAAATGGGATTTTGAATCCAAAATTAATATGGTTTACTATGTCGAATGACAAATTGAAGAGGAATGGTATAGCATTCATCATCACAAAAGAACATTTCAAGATCTGTCTTGAAGTGTATACTATTATTCAAATCTACACACTAACCACTAAAGCGAGTAATGATGAAATTGAATCCTACCAACTTCTTCAGTGTGAAATTGAGGAAGCATGCAGTAAGGATGCATTGGTAATTCCTAATAACTGGAATGAGAATGTTAGAAACTAAAGAGAAAGGATGAGTCGTTGGAAATGCAGTCTGAGAGAAATGCTGCTGGAGATCACATGATAGGATTTTGTAACCAACAAATTGTACATTGCAAATACCTTTTGTTGTTACTAAGTGTCAACAAGTTAATTCTGGCTCATAGAGATGCTCTATAGGGTTTCCAAGGAACAACTGGTGGGTTTGAACCATTGACATTTTGAATTGTAGTCTAGTGCTTATCCTACAGCGCCATACCAAGAGTCCTTTTTTAAACAACATAAAAAGTGACTGGCATACACAGGAATCAAATTGACTACATCTGTTGGAGGACACTGAAAAAGCTCCATATCATCAGCTGAAACAAGGCCAGGAGCAGACTGTGGACAGATCAGCAATTGCTCATATACCAGTTCAGACTGAAGCTGACAAAAATGAAAACAAGTCCTTAAGGGCCAAAACGTGACCTTGAATATATCCCACCTGTATTTAAAACCAGCTCAAGAACAGATTTGATGTTTGAGACCAGGAGTGGTAGGTTTTTGGGGTGTGTTTTTTTTTTGCCAAAATGTATAATATCATTCATCTCACATACAAAATCATCAACTTAAAGCTTAACCTCAAACATTTAATTAACTCACTCCTAATGTGATAGATGGAACTGTGGTTGTCTTGTCAGGACCAGACCAAATGATTTCATGGACCTTGTATGGCCCGTGGACTGGATGTTCCCCAATCCTGCTTTAGACAATTATGACCAAAAACCATAAAAATTGTAAGAGGACATCAAGAACATCATACATGAAGAAAATAAAGGTCACTAAATAGAAAAAAAAAAAAAAAAAAAGACCAAAATAAATGTCAGAAAAGACACAGAAACTTGTTCTTGAACATAGAGAAACTAAAGTGTATGGAAGAAGTGAGAAGCTGAACAGAAATTGTCAAAGGGCAGCTCGAGAAGACAAAAATCAAGAATTAGAGTGAAATGTGCAAAGATCCGGAGGTAGAAAACCAAAAAGGAAGAACACAGTCAGCAATTATCAAGCTGAAAAACTAAGGGAAAAATTCAAGCCCCAACTTGAAATATTGAAAAATTCTATGGTAAAAATGGAGTCCTGGTGTAGTGCTGTTAGGATAAACACTGGACCTCAAGGGCATTTAAAACTGCCAGGTTTGCAATTCAAACCCACCAGCCGATTCTCAGAAACCCTATACAGAATCGCTACAA